GGGGTTAAGAGAGAGTCAGCGAGAGAGAAAGAGGCGGGAATCCGAAAACATTAGCCGACATGTAAATGAACAACGGTGTTTAATTCGCACCCAATTGCCAGTGTAAATTCCTGGATGCTTTTTCAGTTTTATTCATCTTTTTCTCTTAATTTTATGTATTTGCTTGTATATTATGTGTTCATTTCATTATTTTGATATAATCATGTTTAAAAATGCCGCTTATTAGCAAAATAGTGACTTGCAACAATGTACTGAGCAGATTTTAGTAAAATAAATTTGAATTAGGTTTTTTACTTTATTTTCATTGTATAGGTTATTTCAATTCAAGGCTGCTTCATCCTATAAAATAATCATTGCCTCCAGAAAATCAACACAATTTTAGTCGGCGTACTAAATGACAACATAAATATTAGGCGTTAAAAATGATGAACGCAAAAACAAGAAGATATTTGTGTTCTGTTCTCTTGTGGAGGTGCAATTAAAAATCAGTTCACCTACTTGATAGTTTGACCTATTTTAGCAGCCTAAATGTATTTACCTTGCTTTGTTTTTTTTAAGTTGTGCTATTATGTTTGGATAATCTGACTTTGTTCAATATGAGTGACAATGTCTTTACTGCTATTTAATCGTGCTTTTCTCAAATGCCTTAAAGGTAAGGAATCAAATTAAATGTAAAATTTCATTTTGCCCGATTGCTCATATCATTTCAAACTGTAAAATGCTCCCAATTACATTAGACCCTCAGAATCACTTTTAAACAATTTATTGTAGGTAACTCATATGAATGAAAATACATTTGCAGGCTGTAGCAAAACTGTTGTTAAAAATGGCAGCGAGCAGGTGTGCTTGGTGGTATTAGAACCAAGAACATCGTGCAAGGGCGCGCGTGCACACCCGCGCACACACACACGCACACACACACACACACACACACACACACACACACACACACACACACACACACACACACACACAAAACCGCCTGCTGCATACGTGGATAGCCTTATCGAGTGTGATATTAAGATGTGACTGATATTCGGGCTGCATGACGAGATGAGATGGCGCACAAGATAACTATCGCACGCGTACACGCACACGAGCGTGTACACGCGCACGCACACACACACACACACACACACACACACACACACACACACACACACACACACACACACACACACACTACCAGCAACTTGCAATATCTGCTCAAGTTGGAATCACGCGTGCGTGTCGAACTGAATATGGGCATGCGCGTGCGTGCGTGCGTGATGTGGAGATATTGTGAGGATAAAAAAAAAAAAAAAAACAAGGGGGAAGGTATACTCCTCCTATTCCAGCAGGTTTCCAAACGAACCTTGCACCAGATAGCAGTTACATATATCTGATTATGGTACGTGGGCAATCTGTTATGTGACTCGACTCGGGTGGGTGTCGGGCCACGTGCAGCGGCCCAGTCCTCGTGCATCTTGAATCTTTCGGATTCCACTCTGCATCATTTATAAGAAGATCCAATCGTCCGCGCAATGTGCAGGCAGGCCCTCTTGGTCCATGCTGCATGTGTAAAATTCAATTTAGGCACTGAAAAATGCTCTTAAAAATGCGCGTGCACGATGGGGACAGTCAAATAAGTATACGCAAACCTAAACAACACTATAATGGGGTTAAAAAAAAGATGGATGCATTTCACACACTCAAGTGTTCCTGAAGGATTTTCCCACAAACGTGTGACAAGGAAAATATACCCCCATCACCCCCCACCCGACTGAAAGGGGTTTGAGGGGGGTAGAAAAAAAAAAGAAGTCAAAATCAAGTTCAACGACGTACTGGAGAGACATTTCCATGACAATCCGGTCTGGTCCAGCATCCCGCACCCCCACCGCACACCAGAGTCTGGCGTCAGCCCCGCTACACTTTCCCAGGCTCACAACAATGTCTCCCCCCACCCCCCCGAACTCTGCACCGCAGCGCTGCCGGCGTGTCCTCCTCCTCCTCCTTCTCCATCAATGCTCCTCACACGAGCACATGGCTGCCCCGAGCCTCATTAAACAATCTACACTTTGCTAATTAGCATTCTGGACGTGGCCAGTGGCTCAAGCTACATAGGTTTGTTGATATAGGAATTGCATTATTGCGATTTGGTCAATAATTGGCTATAGTTGAAACACTGTGTTATTTAAAAATGCAGAAGATTTAGATGGAGGGTTACAGTCGTGCGCGCGAGCGCGCGCACACACACACACACACACACACACACACACACACACGCACACACACACACACACACACACACATATACACACATTCGTACTCACACGCGCGTTAAAAAAAACAACAACAAAAAGTAATTTTTTTGTATCCTTACACAGTTTTAGTATATGCACAGAAATGCATGTTTTACACATGTATTTTCTTCTGCAAGGTTTCACCTGTCTTCTCTCAAATATTCACATGTACATTAAGGAATGCGTGCACGCATATTATGATAAAGGATGCAAGAAGGGAGGAGGAAGAGGAAGAGGAGGCGGGGCCTATCAAATTTGCCAGGTCCTATATTGTACTTTACATGCATGTGCTGAACAAGCCATAAAAATCATATAGGTGCGTTTGATGTGAAAAAAAATCAATAAATCAATCAATCAACCAATCAACAATCAATCCCAAAATGCAGCTATAGTGCTGAATAATTTTTAAAAAAGATAATTTGAGAGCTCTGTTGTCTTTCAAGACTCACAATGGTTTAATAAGCTGAAATTCAGCATTTCATTCCATGTTTACTAGCATCAGTAATTTCGTTTTAGTGATTTTTTTCCCCAGTTTGAAATTCTTCTTGTCAACCATTGTCCCAATTTTAGGCTTAACAAGAATGATCATATGATGAATAAAATAATGTACATTAAAGAAAAACAAACATCTGTATCATTTCGTTTCTAATGTGTTTTGTATGTTACAGTTTTCGACGTGTATTACATCCTGTCGTTTGAGGCTTCATAATTTAATAGATTACTTCATAATATTTAAATTCTTTTAACCAAACTATATTTTCATAATATGGCCCACGTTTGCGAAAAACAAACAAAATAACAAAAAACACGTGTGATTGGATGCATTGATGATGCAGGCGACAAGAAGAAACAGCGCCACACTTTGGCGAAAAAGGACTGAACTGCTACGTCATCCTGTATTGGAAATGAAAAGTCGAAGCGTCTCATTTATTCATATTTCTATGCTATTTGACTGCGTCAGGGGAAAACAAAAATTAACGCTAAACAGGAAATTTAAAAAGATGTTTATAACGTTTCCGTGTGGTGGTTTGATTTAAGACAACCTGTATATGTGAGGGAAATTTAACGCATTGATTTTGATTAAATAACCACACCACATCTCGCTGACTTTCAAATCTTGCAAGTCACTTGAGTGAACGTGTCGTGAGGTAATTCGAATGAACTAAAAGGGCGACCTGTGCTGTAAACTGCCGATAATATATCGAATCCTCCTTTCGTTGTTATTGATGATGATGATGATTAAGATGATGATGATGATGACGACGAAGTTGAAGATGATGATGGTAATTATAGTAATGTGTATCCGATTAAGTAAAAACAAAACAGTCATAATAGTTAGATGGACATACAGGTATAATAGCCTATTCACGTTTACGGTATGGGTAACAAAAAAACATGAACTTATCGGATTTCATTATGATTCTTGCGAGGACAAAACATAATATATCAAGTATAGTGCACGTCTTCTATATTATTATTCCTATCTTTCAAAGTACAGTAAAGCAACGTGTTCTGGCAGCCGTGAAATATTGAATTAAAAACGAATTCATTACGCACGATTTAAAACGCGTCATTGCCATACAGCCAGTCAGCAAGTTTTGAAATGAATGCATTTGTATTTAAAACGTGTGAATGAAAAATAAATATATAGTTGGAAACGTGTGGTTTATTGGTACTGTATACTGTATTACCATTTACAGTACAACATTGTTGAAGCAGAGTTGTAGAATAGGCTATCCTATTTAATTTTTGCATGTTTAAATCGTGGGTCATCCAGGGAGAATTCGTGTTTTCTTTCTCATTCTATTTCGTTCTTTTAGATAGAGCATAAAGGTTTGTACACGCTTGCTAGTGGAAAGAAAGGGTCTCCAAACTTTTGACTGCTTACTCATTGCATCGGCGGTACATCTCAAGTCAGTTCTTTACAAAAAAGAGAGAGAAAGAATGAAATAAAAAACGCCACCATATCCATAATTATTCGAATTCTTGAAGATTAACGTCTGTAAAATTGATTACCCCGATTTGGGCTTTGCCACGTTTCGCAGCGATGACGTCAGCACAACGTAAAAGTTTGTTTCTTCCTTTTTTTTCTTTCTTTTTCTTTAACAAGAACACCCTCCCATGGGATAATTATGTTTCGATATAAGTGTTATCATTACTTGCGTCAATGACGTAGACGTTCGTATTTGAGACAGGCTTGAGATTTAAAAACAGCCAGATGTGCATGCTTTTATACATAGTTTGCATAAAACAAAAGATTACCGGTACTCCCAGATGAGATGTGTATATTCTTTGAGTTCACGTTTAGTGCAACTCTTCAATACATGTGGAGATTAAAAAGTAAAAAACAGATGATTG